AAGGGAAATTTGGTTGAGGATAAGTTTGGTTGGAATTATAATATTCTTGCGATTCCTCAAAATTTTGGGATTGGTAGTTGGAAAGGTAATTCGGGTGAGAATGAGTTTGTGACGTATTGAAATTCTCCAACAGTATTTCGAGGTCGGATTTATGGGATTCTTGTGATTCCTCGAAATACTCGGAGTGGGAGTTGTAGAAAAAGGTTGGGTGATACATAGTAATTGAGACAAAATTTTGAGATGATACTCTTGAATGAGGCGTCTAAGTCTGAGATACCGCTCGATATCGTTGATTTGTATGTATAACGGATCACCTTGCGAACGAGTGTTTGGCATACAAATAAGAAAAGAAAAGAAATAGAGAAGAAAGAGAGAAGTTTTTGCTCTAGTCTCTACTGCGTAACAAAAGAGTAGCGATATCGACTTAAATCAGTCCCCGGCAACGGCGCCAAAAACTTGATCGTGGGATTTGTACTTATGTATCCAATGATTCGGACTGCAAGTGCACAGTCTTGTCGAGTAGTTTTAAAAGATATCGAACCACAGAGACTGATGAATCGATCTACCGTCTTCTATTGTTACTTTGTAAATCTAAAGCTAATGAATATTTGATTTGGGTTGTAGGGGAAACTAATTACTAAATTAAGTTGTATCAATGAGCTTAATTACTAGCATGCAACAGTCGTACCTCGGGAACTAGCGACCTGTCGGGCGTCTTTATATTTTCAAAACAGTTTTCAGTAAAACCTATCTAGTTTAAAAACCCTCGTCTCACACTGTCGTTTTGTTGATCTAGGCTATGCAGTTAAGCCCTAACGTACGCTTCCGCCATCCCGCAGGAGTTAAAAACACTTTTTGGAAACTAAACAAAATCTTAATTAACTTTAAAGTGCTTCCGCTGTATTTTAAGCCAATGCCTAATTACTACTGTCCAGTTAAAAGATCTCAAACTTCCGCTTTGTTGACCCTAACCTCTATCTGTTTTTTACTTCTGTAACAAAACAATTTAATGATTTGAAAAATAGTAACTTAGGCCAGAAAAGAAAGTTTCATAGTAAAAATAGCCCCGACTAAGCTACTCGTTCCCTCGGTTGATTGACTTTACCTACCGGTATAAGATTTCTAGCCTGACATAATATTAAACCAAATCGCAGAATAATTTAAAGGACAAACACAAATAAGCATAATTATATTAATTAATAAACAATAAGAATTTGTAAACATAAACCTGGCAATAACTCTGAAGACAGAAGCACTCCAGCACAAATTGTAGGCTTTGCATCGATCGGAGGATATATTTAACCGTACAGAAGAAAATAAAACTGAAAAGAATAATGTTGGAAAGTGTAATACCCCAAATTTGTCCTACCCTTTTACTTCCTATCTGGCTTACGCATTTTTGCATTTTTCTCACATATATAATTTCCATTAGGTCATCTAACACATCATGCATCATTAATCGATAAATTGGCATAAAATCATGGATTTCGAGGAATAAGGGTTGGTGTATGGCTTTAAGGCTCTCATCTTCGCACAAGCTTGTTTCGGTTGATTTCTCCATTAATAATTTGTTTGAAGCTAGGTTTTCATTTCATGGACCTTATCATCATCAAGCTACGAGGCTATTCTTTTCTTCTCAATGTCAAGTTGCAAGGTTTTATGAGACGAAGCTAAAAATCAGGGTTTATACATTTTCATACTTGAGCTTGTCAGCATTCTACCTGAGGTTCATTCCATATCAAGGTATTCGCAGGTCTCATCTTTCATATTCATCTGCAAAGAATCCCTCAGGGCATAGTCATTATCATCTATTGAGAAGGGGTCCAAGACGTCGTTATTCTAGTGCTCATATAGGCGGGACATGGTACAAGATGTTGATTGTGATCAAGGTGTCATTATTTCAAATGCTTATTGCTTGACACACAAATTTGGTTTAGATCGGAAAATTGAATTGAATTAGGGATTCACTGAAGCTGTAGTTTGATTAGAATTCATTCATTAATATTTGAAGTGGATTTGGAGAAAATCAAAGTTCTTAAATATTTGCGTGGCTTTTCTTGGAATTCAAACCACAAGTATGAAAAAGCATGCATCAAATTCATCCAACCATCAAAATATCGTCCAAATAGCCTCTCTTGGATTCATTCAAGATTCATGTCTCTTTTGATTACCTTGCAAATATTTTGGATTCATACCATTTATTTGAATTCATACAAAAGCCATTTCATTATGTGGAAATAAAGTATGGATCTTTTTGTCATGGCAAGCTTCAAACTTGAAGTTCCGTTCAAAATGTTATTCAAGTATCGATAAAATATTATCCAAATTCATTCAGAGTGCAATTAGAGTATGGAAGCATCATTCATTTATCATCCATCAAAATTAGGGATCTATTCCCATTTCTTCCATCAATGTTTGTTTCAGGGACTTAAGCTAAGTGATCAAAATAGCGTGGATACTATGTGGAAATCATTTGAAAAGAAATAAAATGGGTAGAAAGGTTAATGCTTTGGTGTTTGGAAATTCGCTTCTTTCATTCTACTCTACCTTTGGTGAAACGGAAACTGCAAGGTTTCTTTTTGATAAAATGCCTGTGAGGGACTTAACTTCTTGGAACACTGATATCTGGGTATGTTAAGAATAATCAATCAGGGAATACTTTGGTGGTTTTTGATAGAATGAGAAGATGTATGGTGTTATTGGAGATGGGATTACTTTGCTTGCTCTTTTGTCTGTTTGAATAACTCAAACTCGAGAGTGGACTGGGTGAAGTCTCGGTTTTTGCAGATCCTGTCATTCAATTATAGGATTCAACAACTGAGTTAGTTATAAGATGAATTGTTTGGGCCATCATAAGTATAAGATTAAGAATTTAATTTAACTTCATATGACCCAATATAACATTTAAGTGATATGGTTTCAGAAGTATACACTCTTATTTGAGTATATTTTTTCACTTTTATGGATATAGTGATATTGATGTGTTTATAAGCAGATAGCTCAGCGTTTCGGTAAAACACAGTTTATTAATCTCACATATAGGAAAGCACACAAAAAAAAATACACACAAGAAGAAATGTTTAGATGTCTAAACATTGCTTCATTATTCAAATATTATTTGCGTAGCAGATGTAGGAGAATTATGAAAATCCCAAGCAGTAGATATTATTTCCGGCTGGTGCCATGACCATTCTTCCTGTCAAATTGGGAAGTTAGCCATCAACTTTCAAATCTATTTCTGAACCCCAAGGGAACGGCTGGATTGGCTTAGTTGCCTCAAGAAGAACATCAACAGGAATATTTGGTTCTGATCGCTTTAATGGTGGTATGCCATGATTGTAGTCTTGAGGATCTTCACGGTAATCCTACAATTTGAAGGGTAAGGTTTCAGAGGCAGCAAAGTGATTATTAAACTTAAGACAAAGTTCTAAACATGACAATATGAATTTGGTCCTAAAACATAAGAATTCTAAGTTTCTATACTTATGAACTTCATGCTTTTGGTTGCAAAAACCAAACTTCAAGCTTCCATAACATCTCAAAGTAATCTCCATGCTTGATGCCCTTATGTCTTGAATTTCTTCACCATGTTTTATTCGCATCATCCATGACCAAACTTGCTGTTAAAACCATCTTCAATATACCTTTTCATTCACCATGCCAAGCTGCACCACTAAACCTGCACCACACACATTCATTATCATGATCATAAAATCTAAAAATATAGGATAAAACTAACATGTTCATGCACACATCAAGTCACCCTGTTGTTTCAAGAATACCATGACATCACATCTGCTTGCTAACCTCACTCCACCTTCAATTTATTTTCATAACCGAAAATAACTGATACTAAGAGAAATCCATCTCGGTAATTCACTTCATTAACTTTCCTAACATATTTTTTCTAACTTCTCCAACTAACTCAACTATAACCAACTTTCCATTTCCCACCTCCTAACCACCTAACAGATTTACAAATAACCACTCTCTAACTGCCAAACAGAATTCCATAATCCAAAAAATAGAGACAGCCCTGTAACCTTTAACCAACCTCTAACAGTTTTCAAACCCATAACTAACTGTAGCAAACTTCTAACTGTCAAAACCAATCCTCACAAAAAACTAACCCCAACTGCCTCTAACAGAATCCAGCAGAAAAGGCATAACAGAATCTCAAAAATAGATTGCAACAAATTCCAACAGAAAGATATAATATAAAATTACCAGATTCACAATTCATTCAACATTTTTTTTCACATAGAAAATCACCATAAACTCAGGACCTTCTCATTTTCATCTTTTTCACCCCTCTGAACATAACATGATTCCTTCACCCAAAGTCACAAGGAGAACTCATTCATAAAGATTCAAAATTTATTGATTCACAAAAAACCAGATAGAAAACTAACCAAGAAAACCAGCAATCTCTTCCTTCTTCAACTGGCCGCATCATTCTCCAAGAACCTTGATCGATCGCCAAAATCGCTTTCAATCCTCAACTTCGAAAATCTCCCATTGGCATCAATTCTCCGACGGAACCCTTAACCGGCATATCAAGCTTCATCATCTACATTCATTCACTCTGTGTTTTTTAACTACTTCGCAACATCACCATCACGGTTCCTGCATCAAGAATAACAACAACAATCAGAATCAGCATCCAGCAAGAAGAAGAAGACAGAAAAAGTCATAGAAAATTAAGATACCCACCTTAAAACTCTCTGAAGGATCTCCATAAATCTTCATCTCTCTCGGCATTTCCTCTCGGAATCTTCATCATCTTCGTCTCAAAGATTCTATGCAACTCCTATCATCAATATCATTTCTCCTTTTTTCATCTTCAACAATCATCGTTTCTACAATGCTGCAAACGCATATGCTTCACTCTTATCGTCTCTGTTCAACGTCTCACGCATAGTCTTCATCAACAATAGTAATTCACAGAACCTCGTTCGGGAGGAGTTAGGCGAGTTGGTTGAACGAATCAAAACGAAGATTCACGAGCAACAGGATGCGCACATTTTAATGATGATAAGCGGAGCTGAGACGAGCGAAGTTTGAACACTACGATGTGAATCACACCGTGAGAGCGAGAGGAGGTCGTGACGGACGGCGGCGAGGAAGTGACGACATCGGAGGGGAGAAATCGCGATAGAATCGGAAACTGTAGGAGATGGAATCGGAAACCGGCGCGGTGGAGATGGAATCGGAAACCGGCACGACGGAGATGGAATCGTCGAAGTTAAGTTGAGGTTGTCGTTCGTGATTGAAGAGAATGGGCCGATTCTGTGGAGAAGAAGCTCAAATGCCACAAAGAGAAACCCTAGTGAAACAACTTTGTCTCCTACCCTACATATTTTCCTCTCATTCTTTTTTATTATTGTTATTTTCTTTTTTAATTTAAATCAATAATTGATCATTAAGGTAGAAGTATTTAGTGGATGGGCTTATGGAGCTTGGAACGTTGGAGTTGGCACGTTACACATACTTTTTGGAAGCCAAAAGCCCTTTCAACAAAAAAGGCAATTCCTAGAATCTTCTAATGGGCCTAACGCCAAGCCACACTCCCTGATTTCAACTCTATACCCCCTGACTTCACATCTCATTTAAATATTTGGTTTAATTTTTTTCTTTTATTAATTATTGATTAATTGGTGATAGAATGATACGAAATAATAAAATATTTTAGAACTCTTTAGAATTTATTTTTAGAATTTCAATTTGAGTTTTTCACTATTTTATTTTTCATATTTGGTAATCATTTTTATTGCCATTTTTAGTCAAGATTTTTGTGATAGTATCAATGTAACTCTTGCAATGTGGAATGCTCGGGGTGAATTCTTCAAACACTTGCCCAAGGGAACTTTGATAGAATTTTTCTACCGCTTGCACAATTTTGAAGAGGCAACAGACCTTCTCCGTTCGGTATCGTCACAAATCTATTTTATTCTTCATTTTCGTTCTTTATCGTAAATCATAGCATGCTAACATTAGGTAGAATTCCCTCAAAATTCTAACTTTAGGTCTAACCACGCACGATAACATAGGTTTAGAAATAGGCTAATCCCCCTTTAACTTTTCTTTCCTTTCCGCATACGCATCTAAAACAAAAACTTCTTTTTCTTTCAAAATTCAAAACACTTTAAAACTACTGATGAGAATCATGCTTTTGCTTAGTACGGGAAATGATAAGCGGGTCTCTTCTCGATCTTATGGTTATTCATCTCAAGCATGGGTGTGGTTCAATTCTCAAAGACTCCTTTCATGACTAAGTAGAAAAATGGCTAATATCTCTCTCTTGAGATCAATCAGTCATCATCTACAATAAAAATACAAAACAAACTCAAATCTTTTGTGCGCTCGAGCACCTTCTCTCTAAAACCCTTTTCAGGTAAGGACATGATTAGTTTACTTCTGTGTCAACGCATAAGTCTCCAAAGGTCGAGCTGCGGCAGAAGGCGAAATTAACATTGTCCATAAAAAACACAAACAAACAAAAACATATGAGCCGAACTACAGTAGCTCTGATTCCTCAAAAAGGATACGTAGGCATTGGGGTAGGGCCCAGGCGAGCACAATTTTATTTTCCCTACATTCTTTTCCCCTTTCTTTTGCATGCATTCTCCCTTAGCAGTAATAAGCAGTAAGCATAGATTAAACACACCCATAAGATAGATAACAAGAGTGGATACCGTAGAGTACTACGGGCGCGTGGGGTGCTAATACCTTCCCCTCGCGTAACAGACTCCCTTACCCGATCTCTCGGTCACAAGACCGTGACTTCTCCCTCCTCAGGTTTTCTCGATGTTTACCTTTCCCTACATGTGGGATAAAAGACGTTCGATGGCGACTTCATTGTTTGATGATTTTCAGCCGGTTGTTTCAGAAAGAAATAACTGGGAAAAGAAATAATGCTAAAAAGAATGCTGCTGAAAATAATATTCTGCTGAAAATAATATTCGCCCAATAAAATCTCTAAACTTTCTTTCCTAAAAGAAGAACCCTTTCTACTGTGGTATCAGGCTCTATTTATAGTGCTTGCTTGATCCGTTGCTCTCGAAAATATAGGAATAGTTTACTTCCTTCTTTGAGAAATAATAGGCCATTCAATTGTCACGTTCGTTGCTCCTTTGACTGAGTGGGTGAGAAAATGTAGGACATCGTTGGATTAACCCTTGAACGCGCTTCTGCCCGTTGGATGAGGAGAAAGTGGAGTAATGGGCTGTGACGTTCGTCACACTCAAGTGACTATCGTCACTTGGTATTCATGGCGCGTGACGTTCGTCACGTCCCCTTGACGGTCGTCAGAGCTTTCTTACTTGTGGGCCACGTGCTCACATGTGTGATGGGCTTTTGGGCTGGTTTCTTCTCCTTAGGCCTTTTTACTACTTTTTGCACCCTTTTTTCTTCATTTCTTCAAAAGTGTTCGGCTCGGTGCATATCTGCAAAAATAGAAAAATACATGCATAATACTTATAAAATAATTTAATTTAAACTAAAGTATGAGGAATATTTGGTGTATATCAAGCCAGAAATATCACATATTTGTGTGTCATCAGCTAGCACCCTTTTCATCCATGGTTTTCCATGGGCTCTTAGTTACTTGATTTAGATCACTTGCTTTGCTTTTTCAATTGTTTGAAATGGTGCTTTGTGTGGTTTTGAAAGTATTTTGAAAAGAGGCCATCGTTTAGGCAAATTTTGTAATGATTCTCGTTCGTAAGAATGTATACAAAGATGTTTTTCTTTTGAGAAATGTTTCAATGTTTTGAAAGTTTGTTTGGAAAATATTTTTGAAATGTGTGTGTTTGTTTGAAAATAGCAAGGATGGTTTGTAAATTGATCAAGTAACTAGAAGCATCTACCTACTCAAAAGTCTTTCCTACACATTTTTATTCCTTTGATATTGTTGATTTACCATTGCTTTGGTAAACAACCCTATCTTTGGATGTTAAATGGGACGGGCGTGGGTCATCGTATGACCATGATAACAATATTTCCAAGTATCTTTAGCAAGTTTTGTGGGACTAAGATCATCTTTTTTTAGGCAACCAAGATAGTGTCATCGAGGGACTATGATCTTTTGTTTTGTTTTGTTTTGCCAATATACCTAGCATGCATACCATGGCCATGTTTTAAGGCAACCAAGTGGGTGAAACCCTAGAGGTTCTTGTGTGCACGGTGTTGTCATTTTTCATGCATTTTGTCTTGTATTTAGGTCATGCTATTTGTTTGATTTTGTCTTATCATACAAACCCTAGTTTTTACTAAACATGCATATAATGCGATAAATTACATAAAGTAAATCTAAACTATTACAACAATATTATGGGGAGGGGATACAAGTTTTGAATGGGGGGTATTTGCACAAAATAAAACCCTAATTTACTATTACAACCCAATTGAATTTATTGTATAATAAATAAATAAACAATTATTTAAATATGCAATAAAAATGTAAATATTCAAAAATGCTTTGTAATTGTTTTATGCATGAGAAAATAAAATTAATTAAGTCCTAAAAAATAAGAAAAATAATGTTATTATTTTTGAAAGGGGAAACCCTAATTTTTGTCTTAAAAGAAAAATATATGTTTTCTAATATTCTTGTCCATTTTGGTTTAAGAAAAATAATAATAATATTATGTATAAATATTAAAAATTAAAATATGTGAGAAAATAATATTTTTATGTGTATAAAAAGTAAAATAAAATATTAAGTATTTTATTATTATTTACAAGTTTATTTAAGAAAATAAATTCTATTTAACCTAATAAACTATTTTTATGCCATAAAAATAATAAAATAAAATGCAAAAAATTAAGAAAATATTTTTGGGATTTTTTAATATTCAGAAAAAAAAAATAAAGTCAAAAATATAAAAATAACAAGAAAATATGAAAAATAACAAAATATGAATCAGGGGGGTGCAAAAGCAAAATGGGGGGTGTGAATAGAAAAGGCCCAAGGCGCCAGGCCCAGAACACCACTTCATCCCTGTCCTTGCTCCTTCGCGCGCGCCCTGTGCTTCAACCTGTAACTCTTGCATACATGCATAAAAACAAAATCTTGCAACAGGAAACTTATAGCATGTTAACTCACGATTCCAATGATATAAAAATCATGACCTAACTCTCAGAGATCAAGGAGAATTTTATCACCCCTAATTTCTGACCTAAAATTTTCATGAACTTCAAGCTTCAAATTCTCACTACTCAGTTAATATAAATAAAAACTATGCATATGTACAGCTCAAGCATGTTAAGGACCACATCTTTGCTTCACAAACCTAAGCTTAAGGATGCCTAAATAGAGAGATAAAAGCTTGACAAATACCTTGTTCAATTGAGTTTGGATATGGAAATGTGGGAACTTTGAGAGAGGCCTGAAGTTCTTGTGAGCTTTCTTGAAGTTCTCTCAAGCTTCTCCAATGCTCAGCTTGCCTTGTAGATGCTTGAATCTTGCTGCACGATTCAACCTGCAAACCTTCAAAATGAAAATGGTGAAGCTTGAAACAGGGGTTACAGTTGCAAGACAAGGGCCTGGACAGTTTAGGTGTGATGTATAGAATGTGTTTGAAGTGTTTCAAAGCAAAACGCACGAGCCAATATTATTTTGGAAATGGTTCTGCAGAAGATGCCCTGTTTGGGCAGGAACTTGTTTTTTTTTTGTGTTTTAGAGTGTTTTGGAGGTTGTGAATTCGTGTTTCTTGCTTGTTACAATGTTCTGAGGTTGTTTGAAATGTTACAAAGTCTTCCCTTTATCAGATACCCAAGCTTACTTGACTTTTGCAAGTTTCTTGCTTTTGAAGAAAAGTTGAAAGTGACAATGCCAAAGCCTGTACATGCTTGCTTTCTAGCTGCACATAGTTGGTACAAGTTGCCAGATATTTGTGGATATTGTTTGCAGCAAAAGATTAGGTCCATGGCTCAAGATTTGCAAAGTTGGAAAAAGCAAGCTTTATTAAAGTAGCAATGTGAACTTTATGCCATTTTTGGATTAATTCATTGTGTAATGCTTCAAAAGTCAGAACAAGACCATTATCCAATGTGTTTGAATTTAATTATGGAGTTTAGAATGGATTAGGACCTGTAAAACCAAGTACAAGCATGTTTGAAACTGATTTGCAACTTGTAACAATGTGAAAATGCCTTGCACAAAAGTGATAAATTGCCATTTTCATTTCTTCGATTCTCCCTAACCATAAATGATCTTGGAGAGTTCTTGGACATTTTGGAAAGCTTGTAACATTCTCTACAATCCATATTTGAAATGAAACTTGATATTACTCTTAGAACTAGGTGAAAAGTTGCCATGAAGTTAGGTCAAAAATCTGCCTAAACTAGGGCAAAATTTCACTAAGTTAAAAAGTTTATGGACCCTTATTCA